AAAAGCAGACAAGTCTCTGATATTGTAACAAGATATTGAATAATTTTCAACAGTAATGGTATTTTCCACGATTTATGGTTACATTATATAATTGTCACAGACACTCTTTATTCTGTTCACTTTAGGCGTTACATAATACGATATAGCCAACATGGTGGAGATAAGGATTTTTGGCTTTAAATAACACGTAGGATCAACATACAGTTCATTTTGCGGTAGAATAGAAATATGCAATTAAATACTTCATAAAACGCTTTAAAATGATTACTACGGAAAAATAAGCACACCGTGAAAACTTCAAAATAACAGGGATATTTCAAAATTAGATAGGCCATAAAAATACGTTTAATTACAAAAGAAAGAAAATGTGTTTTAGATTTATGTTTAAATAACGGATCAACAAGTCCGAAGAATTTCAGCGCAGTGTGTAGAACCAACAAGACCAGCTCGCATTACCTTCTATGAGTGCATGAGATTTTAGGGCCACCGTTACCATCATATATAGTTAATTGAACGCTTAGCCTGTAGCAGATCTAGAGTCATGTTCTTCTTTGTCCATATTCATTTCCTAGTTTCCGCCATCATTTTCCCCATTAACTCACCTCAGTACCTTTACCATTCATGCCCTGCTGGGTAAAAGTTGGTTGTGTATCCGTTACATGACGTTTCAGAACCAACCTCAGCATTTTTTTGGCTGTTGTGGGTTTCCGAGGCAAATTTTACGTTTAGTAGTTTATCATTGCTTACTGAACGATCAGCTATCAGTACACATCTTTAAATAGTAGTTGGGGCAGACTCCGACATCTTATACCCATCTGCAATTCACCAGATAATGTTTCTATCGTTCTGTTATCCTTCATCCTCACGGCACAGGATACGAAAGCATGAAAGTCCTCTCTGAAGCCTCATGTGCCACTAGGCATAAAGAGAATTGATGATGATGATGATCCTTCATCCTCAGTGAGTTCACAAGCCATTAAAGACTGAGCACTGAGAAACAATTGTTATTATTATACCTGCTCCACAAAATACTTCAACATGTATGATGTTATCTTGCAGTTTAATGCCAAGTATTCTTCGCAGGCATCGCATATTCTACTGCCGTACAGAAGAATGCTGAGGACACATGCGTAGTAAACAAGCGCTTTTGTGTCTTAACCTGTGTTTTCTGTTCTCGCAAGCTCTTTTAGTTAAATCTGCTCATTGTTGTTGCTACCTTACCCATACTGCTGTTTATTTTTGGGGTACAGTGATATTTTTTTTAATTGATTGAGCATCCTTGTATGAAACAATCTTTAACTGTCTCCATCTCGTTACAGTCAGTGAGAGCTGTAGGTCTTTCATTGAAAACTTGCACTTAGTCAAAACTGTAAACCTAGAAAACCTAAGAAAAAAAAAATGAGAGGTGAATCTCAGTAAACTTTATACATTTGGTAGAGTCTCAAGGTGCTTAAGCCGTGTTTAAGTGTGGAATTATTTTCTTTTAGTTGCGTATCCTTTACATGACGTTGCAGAACAAACCCCAGCATTGGTTGTTGTGGTTTTTTAAGGCAAATTTACGTCTAGTAGTTTGTCATTGCTTTCTGGACGGTGGCTTCTCGAAACCACCGTCGAAACCAAGGCAAGGCGCAAGGCCCGTGGCTAAGATCGAACCTGGCACCCCGGCATTACGAAGCGCGTGGCAACGTTTTAGCCACAGACGCTGACGTAATTATATATATGCCAGGTTCGATCTTAGCCACGGGCCTTGCGCCTTGCGTTGGTTTCGACGGTGGTTTTGAGAAGCCACCGTCCAGAAAGCAATGACAAACTACTAGACGTAAATTTGTCTGTCTGTCTGTCTGTCTGTCTGTCTGTCTGTCTGTCTGTCTGTCTGTCTGTCTGTCTGTCTGTCTGTCTGTCTGTCTGTCTGTCTGTCTGTCTGTCTGTCTGTCTGTCTGTCTGTCTGTCTGTCTGTCTGTCTGTCTGTCTGTCTGTCTGTCTGTCTGTCTGTCCGTCCGTCCGTCCGTCCGTCCGTCGTCCGTCCGTCCGTCCGTCCGTCCGTCTGTCTGTCTGTCTGTCTGTCTGTCTGTCTGTCTGTCTGTCTGTCTGTCTGTCTGTCTGTCTGTCTGTCTGTCTGTCTGTCTGTCTGTCTGTCTGTCTGTCTGTCTGTCTGTCTGTCTGTCTGTCTGTCTGTCTGTCTGTCTGTCTGTCTGTCTGTCTGTCTGTCTGTCTGTCTGTCTCTGTATATATGTATAATGTACTGAACTGCAAGTATAACTTTTGTTCGCACATTTTGAATTCAACAAGATTATAATCAGTGTAAATTTTGATGCCACAACACACACAAAAAATCTAGTGAAAACTGAAGGTCGCTAGTGGGTTTCTCACTATTTTGGTATATCTCTCTTTCTCCCACCCACACACCTCGAACAGATACACCTACGCACACAAGACTATGACTCCAGTTTATTGTATGAATGTGATCTCACACACATACACATTCCAACGGGTCAGTATAATAGTCTAAATTTGTATCCGTGCATGCATACACATTCTAACATGTCAGTATAATTGTCTAAATTTGTATCCGTGCATACATACACATGCTTAGCTTTCTTCAGGCCTATCAACCACAAGAGCTGACTAAGTATATAACAAACAAGTACAACAGAACGGGTGAAACACATTAATATTATAACATAAACATGAGAGATGTAATGGAGCAAATAATAGGCCGTTTACTGACGCAAAATATTGACTATAATAGAAAGAGACGACCGTCTGCAGGGGGATAGACACACAGAAAACATTGAGGGATGGGCTCAGAGAAGGTGGGGGGGGGGGGGGGGGGGGGGAGGGAGGAGGGATGTGACTTTTAGTTCCGCCCCACGAATTTTCTAGAGGAGGGAGCTCAGAGGTCTAAACCTTGTTTAGGAGCGTGACAATAAAAGCAATGATTATATGTAAAACTATACATGGCAAATACATAAATAACTAAAATTATATATATATATATATATATATATATATATATATATATATATATATATATATATATATAGGTCATATAAAACGATGGAACAGGTATCAATATTGGTATAAATTGTGTTGAAAATATATATGGTAAGAAAAAAACTTGAAAAACGAAAAAAAAAAAAAACTATTTATGACCTGTATTGAAAATCAAGGGACTTATAACTGTATTGCGCTTCTCGTGTTGTGTCAAAAAAAAAAGTGTTTTGAAGTTTCTCTATTGTCATTACGAAATACCTGATTTTTTTGGAATTTTCTAAACAAGTGTTTTATGACCAACAGTATTGATTCTAAACTAAGTGATCGATTCATGGACAATAGTATAATTCTGGACAATAGTGATTTCTATACTTCTCGTGTTGTGTCACCAATAGTGATAGAAGTGACAATAGTGATTGCCTCTACAATTCATTGGACAATAGTGATAGATTCTATACAATAGTGATATATTCTGGACAATAGTGATAGATTCTGGACAATAGTGATAGATTCTGGACAATAGTGATAGGTTCTGGACAACAGTGATAGATTCTATACAATAGTGATAGGTTCTGGACATTAGTTCTATTAATTATGGACAACAGTGTTAGATTCTAAACAAAGTGATAGATTCTGGATAATAGTGATAGATTCTGGACAATAGTGTTAGAGTCTGGACAACAGTGTTAGACTCTATACAATAGTGATAGATTCTGGACAATAGTGTTAGAGTCTGGACAACAGTGTTAGACTCTATACAATAGTGATAGATTCTGGACAATAGTGATAGATTCTGGACAATAGTGTTAGATTCTATACATTAGTGATAGTTTCTGGACAATAGTGATAGATTCTGGACAATAGTGTTAGATTCTGGACAACAGTCTTAGATTCTGGACAATAGTGTTTTAGGAGCGGCTGGCCGAGCGAAGGAGCGGCTGGCCGAGCGAAGGAGCGTCTGGCCGAGCAGTTACAACGTCGGGATCTCATGCAGGGCACTCGAGTTCGACCCCTGTAAGGTAATAGAGTTTTTCAGTCGGGGGAAAAATTAAACAACCTAACCTGCACAGTCTGTGGCGACAGCACTATCCAGGCAGCCTAAATCATCAGGGTCAAGCCCCCCCCCCCCACCCCCTGTCTACACTACTCTAAAATGTGGTAAAACGGACAGCAGTGACAGTGACAGTGGTAGATGATGCTATTCGAAGACAACGTGAATCACAATCATAGCCTACAACTCTCCGTGTGGGTTCATGGACTTCATTTTGTGAGGGGAGAAAACCCACTGTCCTTAACAAGGTTATGATAATCTGCGAATGAAAAGAAAGTTGTTTAAATCGGATATGTTAAGTTGAAAGATGCAGATGTGACACTTTGGCTGTATACTACAACACAATGTTCCAACTGCCCTCTTAGTAGCGAAAGCAGAAGAAGGACAATAACAAGAAGACAGCCCTTGGAGATGGCCAACACGACGCACAAGACCAGATCGTTATAAACACTAGATGTGTGTACGCTCAAACTAGAAATCTCTGAGTATACAGTGTGTGGAAACTTACTACTTTACTAGTACCGCCATAAATGATGTTATGTTAATGGGTACCCGTACAGTTATGTTCCTACACCTGCTTCAAAAATACAAGTGCATTAAGAGATTAGTGTTCATTTCTTTATTACTGAACATAGTTCACAGAACAATGAAAAGTAAAACATAGTTACTTCTACATGCAAACTGTGCAATGAAAAAATATATTATTCAAGCTACAGTTACGAAACTATTATGAATGAAATAGACAATTGTCACTTGATTGTTTATGACATATTCTACAGCTTTGTACATGGCATTACCCAGACGCCATCATATTTCAAGCTACCTCTTTGACATCATGATAGACAAAAGAAAGAACTGACACTTGATTGTTCTGGGTTGGGATTTTCTTGTCATATGTACAAGGCATCAAAAAGATGCCGGGTCACGGTTAGTCAGCAATGTCAAGACCAGACCATCAGACGTTGGTGTCAGTGGACAGTCGGTCACTCAGCGGTGTCACTTCTGAAGTATTACCGACCTTCTCTATCATCAAAGCAGAAGCTTCTGTCTCTGTTTCTCCCACCCTTGATCCTTTTGAATTAACGCTGCCTTTGGGGGTGACCCCTTTCCCGTTACATGTTGTCAGAGCCACAGCGTAACAACTGGAACGTCGAGGACTACCAAAAAACGAGGATTTTGTGTATCTGCTCAGAGTGCGGCTGTCCTGTAGCGCGTTCAATCTCTGACGAAGCAAGGATCGTACCTGAAAGTTAGAAGACAATTATATTTTCATGTTTACATATTTGTTTGCATCTGTATTTATGTGCATACATTTCTATATGTCTACCTGTCGTTGTTTCTGTATCTTATTCATGCACTGATTGAGTTCCTTCTCTTTTTCTTTCTCTGCGTCGGCTTTCAAGGAGCGGCTGACAACTTGTATTGTTGTTTTTAGTTGGACTGTGCTATCTGTGCCTTACTCCATAACGCACCCTCTTTCAGAAAACTCCTAATAGGTCGCCTTTACGACATGCTTGTTAGAGAACACTGAGTTCATTCCCCTGTCCCTCCGCCCCCATCCACTGAGGGCCTGGGAACAAACAGGGAGAGATTATTACATTTGAATCTGACAGTGTTCCAGAAACAGATGAGAACGGTTAGTAGAAATTAGACGTAGAGAGTTAAGTGTTTAAAGATAACTTTCGAGAAGAAACTGACTTGAAACTTAATAAATGACACACCTCCATGACATGCAACAAGACTGTCAAGAATCTTCTCTCGTTGTCTGTTTCTGTCTCTCCTTCCACAAATCTTTGCAGACAGCAACCACATGTTCCATTTTCACTCTTCTTTATAAGATGGCAAAAAATGATGACTGTCTCCTTCTGATGTCTGCGATTACACGGTCAAAACCTAGTGGGTCTTTTAGGCTGTCCAGGTAGCATAAGCAAGACAAGAGCACAGACATGATCCTTGATTCTTGTGACTGTAAGATTGCCTCCTTTTTCGTTCGATTTTATTCTCGTTTGCAATATCTTCAATTTGATTTGGGAAAAGACACCCCGAAAGAACGAAAAAGAGAGAGTTATTTCAGTCCATCGCAGTGTATGCAGAAATCACTATTCGTATTCGGCCCGACCGCCACTATTCGGCCGAATACCGAATAGCTTTTATGTCCACTATTCGGGCCCGAAGCGAATACGAAGCGAATATTCGGTACAGCCCTAGTAGAGAGTTAAATGTTTAAAGATAACTTTCGAGTAGAAACCAAATTGAAACTTAGTCAATGCTACCAACTTGAAGACAGCAAAAATAAGACGAAGAAGTATACACGGGTGCCTTGGTTAGATGGCATAAGCAAGACAAGTGCACAGACCTGATCCTTGATTCTTGTGACTGTAAGATTCACTTTTTTTCTTTTTCTTTTTCTTTTCTATTCGACTTTGCTAACAAATAGGTGGGTGCCAAGAAACTGTCCATGAGGTAAAGACGGCTGACCTGATATTTACCATATTATTCACTTAGTTAAAAAAAAAAAGGTTAGCTACAAGTCTTCTACTGACCTCAGGCAGTGAAACGGAACTTTTACTTAACATAAAATTCTACAGCTACGACTGAAACTCACCTCTCCATTGAGGAAGCAGTAGAATATGGCAACAAGCAAGCCCTGCAAAAAAATGAAGAACCGTTTTTTATACAAATTCCGCAAGTATTAGGACAATCATAAGTATATTCGGAAGCCGTAGTGGGGCAGTAAACTAAAATACTTCAACCAAGGAAAAGGCCCTATAGAGTAAAGCCACAGTGACGTTTAACCATCCCAGAGGGGACAACAAGAGATTAACACCCAGTGGCATAAAGTGCCACTATTCGGATGAGAATCCCCCAGGCGCAAGTCCCAGAAACCCGATTCAACCAGTAAATTATATTATAGTCCTCACGACATGGTTTGTTAGGAAGGGGTAGCAGGTCTATTCAAATCTCTGTTCAAACCCAAAGCGGCCCAAAACTAACACGGGGAACTAATGTGTACTAATGAATCACTAGATTCCTGCCTGCTTACCTGGAGGTTTAAAGTTCAAATTCGCTTCGAAGCAGAAATTCTGTGCATGTTAAATTGAACTTGGCTATCTGGTCGTGTCTGCATATGTGGCTTAGGCGTTGCGAACGTGCTTAGTAATGCCGGAGTGCCGGGTTCGATCACAGCTGCGGACGATTTGTCTTGCGTTGGTTTCGACAGTGGTACCGAGAGCTGACCGTTCAGTGGCAGTGGGAAACTACTGTGTGTAAAATTTGCCTAGAAGACCCACAACAGCAAAACAGGGCTGGGGTTGATTCTGCAACGATCTTTAAAGGATAGGCAACTAACTAACTTCTCCTCAAGTGGACCTAGCTCAAAATGTGTAGTAGGTAATATCTTGGAAAAAAAAGACTACAGCGTGATGTTAACCACATCATCTATAAAGTGCCGAGGGTCTTTACAATTATATGTCTTGTACTAAATGCCGAAATGCACCAAAGGCGTGAAAAAGTTATTTACGTTTTTCAATACCTTGTTCATATTTAGTAAAATTAGAACAATGTATAACAAAATAAACCCTTCGCGTGTTCCAGTGATATTTTGTTTGGGGAAAAGAAAAGATTGCGATTCACTGCTCCATAAAAAAACATGTAGTAAAAGGCAAGTAATTACATAGTGTTTTCTTAGAACTCTGAGGGCATATACCCAAAGGCCAAGGAACCAACAGTCTGCATTCAAGTTAGCCAGAGATGTACAAAGTATGTACACACACAATCCAATTTCTGGAAGCAAGATCAAAGTCCATAAGCGAACTAACAACCAGAATGTATCGTATGCATTTACAGCCGATGAACTTGAAGAAGGAAATATTAATAAACATAACTGACTCATTAACAATAAGAAAGACTATTTGTAAGAACTCTTGAACAGTTAACTTAAAGTGTGATGAATTCATATCCAATGGCACTAATTTAATAAAGGGGTAAATTTCATATGTCTGAGGAAAATAATAAAAACAGAACGAGATGAATTCAAAATAAGGGAAAACAAAAATAAGAGAAATGTCTGGACAACCACTATTATCAAAAGTTATAAGACAGCGAAACTACATTGTACTCATCAGGAGAAATAACTAGCAGAAAATCCCCAAACAGGCCTTGACATGTGAAAGAAAAGGATTAAGGAGGTCAGGAGACCCGACGAAACCCTAAGACGAACGTTGATGGGAGAGGCCAAAGCTACTGCAATGGAGTCCATCCATGATATTGAACTGAGTGCACATGATAGAATGAAATGGATGCATAGACTGTGAGACCAATCTGATGACATATGGCACAACAGGATGGTGAAATATTCATATCACATTATTATCCATCTAAACTACAAAGGTCAACAGCAATGATTCTGCAGCCAACTTTATCAATCGGTGTGATACAAAAATTTAGCATCTTTTCCTGGTCCATTTCTGATTGTTTTTAACACAAATCATAGTTTTCCCTATGCTTGTTTGACTTTAACTCTTTCATCAAGAACAAATCTGAGCTTGTCGTTACACATTTTTTAATCTGCAAAAAAAAAAAAAATAAAAACTATAATTATAATTTCTTTTGCAGCTCTAATTTCTGCTTGAGACTCCGAGAACCGTACTTCAATTTTTTTTTTTTTTTAGTTCCGCATTCTGCTGTCTCTGGAAACTATATGAGCCTGTCTCCAACATTTCATCCTACATGTGATGAGTGTTTTTCTGGTAGAAGATAAATGCTGTTTATCAGTTCTCGCTTGACTTCCACAGTAATCTTCCGATCTTCGGATATTTGAACAGAGATGACAGATGCCAAATCTACATTTGCTTTTTGGCATCTTATTTCTTTTTTGTTTTTTATGTGTGGGGTGGAAAAAAAAAGGAAAGGGGGGGGGGGGTGTCTTCTGTTTCCTATAAAAATAATGCATATAATGACAAATAGGACACTAATTTTTATTTTAGGTTTTAATTAATTTTTTTTTTTAATGTGGCTTGGCAGCTTGCTGATTTTCATTATTCTCTGTACTGACTTTTATTTTACAGTCATTTTTATTAAGCGTTTCTTAAATATTGTATAGGGGAGCGGTTATCTGAAATCCGTTATTATCGCACCGTGTGTAAATTGCATGCGTAGAAAATGATCATGTCAAAGTAATGGGATATGTGTGATTTTTCATGCCATGATGTCAAACAGACTAGCATCAACTATCCCTAGCCACTATTTGACTCTTTTCCCTTATAACTTTTGCATCGCAAACGATGTAGTCCATTGAGACCTTCCTGTGACAACATCACCACAGAATGTAGATTGCTTCCTGTTGTGGGTTATAAGTTCTCTTCGTGAGTCAGTGTCTTTCACATCTTCATTACCATGCATTCTCGTCATTCTTCTATAAAAGCATATTCTTGCCGTTTACACACACTGTTTCACTAATCGTCCACTTGCCCATGATTCTCTTTCCAAATCAGGATAGGATTTATACAGCTTTTTTGTGTGTAAAAAAGTACCTTTGCTTCAGCTAATCTTTATTAAACTATTTTAATACATCTTACATCTGCTGTTTTCAAGGCACGCAGTTGCTTAAGTGTATCATGCGTGCTATAAAAAATCATTTTTATTTACCGTTTATGATGCTGCTGTTGTATAAATAAGCAGACTAATAGACTACGATTTCTAGGACAAACAGAGATAATAGCAGATAGCAGAGACAATAATCGCATACTCAAAAGAGAAGAATAACAGTAGACCAGGAGGTAGGCTAAGATGATGGTAAAGAGATAGTACACAGGTACATTCACAAACACCTAGAAACTGCATCTAGAAAAATAAAGCCAAACACAGAAGGAACGAACGAACGAACACACTTTATTTTGAAAGGGTTAGGAATTGGGTTCTGCCCTTCTAGTTTCCATCCTTTCGTGTATCGTTTCATTCTTACGTCAAGTAATAGTAAACGACAATAATAGAGGCAGATGTTATCTGCTGCAATGAACCCAAAGAGCTCGGAATGCTGAAAAAGAAAGCGCAAATAAAATTTCTGCTTAGGGTTTAAGAAGCGGAGAACGATGATGGTCAACGCCAGTTATACGGTATTTTATGGTGATGAGGATGATAATGATTGTGATTATGATGATGATGATAGAAATCATTTAATACACCTCATAATTTCTATTATCTTATTAGAAAAAAGTTATTATTATTTTAAAAACAGTAGCTGTACCTGTGTAGATTGTAACAAAGCGTTTACGTGCTGAAAGATGCTGTTGAGAATACGGTCATCAAATGGTGGCTTGATAAACAGGATGTAGGTCAGTCCCAGTAGCGGTACCAGAACCACGGTCGCCCGGACAGCTTTTCTGTGCTCAGAGAGGACAAGAGTTCAAACTAATTTCCTGAAGTATATCTGGATATTATCACAAAACTATCCTCATTTTGATGCTATTGCATAAATGACATCATCATTTCACATTTATTATCAAATAACATTATGAATATTATTGCATGTGCTGCATAATGTTTTTATTTTTTTTTATTTTTTTAAATTTCTCTATTGTAAGCTACCCTCGATCACACTTTTTCTTCTTAAAAATTTGCAAATATTGTTCCATAAAATGCGCAATTTTCACTTATATTATTTTGTCGTTTTAATCATAACACTCTTGCTTAATGTTGACCGCATTTCCTACCGAGTGCCGTCGATTGGTAAATAAAATTTAGGTATACCATAGAATACGTAGGCTTGGAAAAGGGTCTTCTGCTTTACTTTTAATTATAAACTGTTTACACATTTAATGTATTTGATCTATAAACTATATTCTTGTATCGCTGACGTTATCGTTCACCTGTATACATAAACCATGAACATTACTAATGAACTGTATCACTATTTCGTTCATTTAACACAAAAACTTGATACTTTTTTTGCCCCTTTACAAAGGGAATACTAGTAGTATTCTTCTTCTTCGCGTTTACCAGCTGAAAACTACAGCGGAAAGTTTCAGTTGCCTGTCCACTTCAGGACTGTAGTCTCGTTCCAGAGCCTGAGTGTCGCGTGCACATCCATTTCCAGATCAAACCCAGGTGTATGCAGAATGTTGGTTTATTGCCTCTTAAGCAGACGCACTCAGACTTCGAAGGAAACCTCCAGTTACTCGACTCTTACGACAAACTTGTTGGGAAAGCAGTGTGTCTATTCTTGTTTTCTCCACAGAAGGGTCCTCGAAACCCACATGGGGTTTTACTAGAAGTGCAATACGTGCATGCCTTTGATTCCTTTCAAACTGCTGGCCGAACGGTTTTGACACCCTGAGGTCTGAAGATCTCCAGTCTGAATGGAGATCAATGGAATTTAAAAACCTGACACCCTGTGACTTACGAATCTCAGTGCTGATGGCAGATCAAAAGGGCAAGCCGAGATACCCAGTTCAACCTCCAAGGAATTTATAATTAAAGCATCCGTAACGGCCACATCAGTCTAGTGTAACCTGCAGTGCTGGGTTGATAGGGACGATAGGTGGTTGATCCCAGGAGTATAAAAGTTAGTTGCGCATCCTTTTTAAGGACGGTGCAGAACCAACGCCGGCATTTTTAGGCTTGTGTGGTTTTCCTAGGCAAATTTACATTTAGTAGTTTGCCACTGCTGGCGAAACTGTCGAAACCAGCGCAAGACAAACCGTCCGCAGCTGGGACTGATGCCAGCATCCCGACATTACAAAGCGCGTTCGCAACGACTAAGCCACAGACACGATACTATGTGTACATAGGGTGTATTTTTGTAAGGTTATTACGTTTAATGAGAAAATTTTCAGACTTTTCAAATGAATTATTTGTACTGGTAATCACAGGATCTCCTTGACTAATAATATTAGGGTAATGACGACCTTTTTCATCATCTTTTTGTTTACCGGCTGTAAACTCAGGCGGACTGTTTTGGTTGATCAAACACCTCGTAATCCAGAACCTGAATGTTGCGTGCCCATTTGTTTTTCAAATCTGACGTGCTTGTATGTAGACTGTTGTCTCCCTGCCTCTCAAGCATTTGCTCCCCCCGCCCCACCCCCCCCCCCCCCGACTTTGAAGGAAGCTCCCCAATAAGTCAAATCCTACGATATGCTTGTTGGGGAGGCAGTTGGTCTGTTTTTGCCCCCCCCCCCCACAATGCGGCAAGGTCACCCACAATGGGAGGATAATGACCATGATTTGTGTGTGAGCACATGTATGATTACACTAATGTCAAAAACATTTTAGTTCGTTATCACATTTCTAAGAACACACTAGGAAATAAAACTCAGCAGTTAATCAATAGGTTTTCTGCCATGATAAAATAAAAATTAAAAAAAATCCCTTCACGTAATTTTTATTTTAATTTTATTAACCAACCACAAATGTCTTCTGTTAAAAGATCTATGAATCAACACTGTATGACATGAGTGAGTTCAGAAACGCAGAAATTTTAGACGAGCCTGCGTGCATAATTATAATTCCTTTACAAATAAAATTCCTTCCTTATACTAATCATTATTCACCACCTGGGAGTTACAACTGGATAATAGGATATTTTACTAGATATATGCCAAATTGTTTGTATGTCAATTATATCCCTTCCCCTCCCCCAGTTATAAGCGATTCTTTCCAGTAAAATGCCAGATTGGAGATTTCTGTAAAGTAAGTAAAAGACATTTTATCACGCCTTTAAGGGTACTGAGCCTATAGGACTAGTCCTATATTTAATAGACCAATCGATACTTGCTGGGTGATGTATTCAGTATCACGCGGTCGCCTTTACTTCCAAGAAATCCACCTTGTATCTATTTCAAAGCTGGGTCGAAAAGTGAGACAGGATGCTGTAAAGTGACCTAGTATTAAATGTTCACAAATGTGTTATTGAGGATTTTTGTTTTTATGTTCTATTGACGTCCAGAATAGGACTTAAGTCAATATATGTTAAAACTTTAGGCAGGAAACAGAAAAGTAATCCACAAAATAATTTTTTTTTTATTCTTCAAAATTAAAGGTAAAGGTAAAGTGGGGAGATGTGAACCAGCGTCACTGCGCACGGTTATAAACCATAAGTGCTCTGCCACCAGTACGGACAGCTGATAAGAATTGTCCGCTTGTGTTGCCGTTCGCACGTAACTCTGTAGCTACAGCGAAGTTTCTCTATTTACCCCAGAGTATCACGCTGGTACCCATTTCCTAGAGGCTGGGTGAAACCCGGGAGCTGCCCGGTTTTGAACACCGACCGTGGGCTGCAGCGAGTCGCAACTGGATTTGAAAGCGAGCTTCTTATCGACAGCGCTAACGCGGCCCCCTAAAATGAAAGGTGCTGATATGCAAGAACATTACACAGGGGTAAAAAGAAATGTAATTCCATTACATAGAGGAAACAAACCGAGCAAACAACAAAAACTACCTGGACTGACGAGTCTCTAGTGTGTTCGATGCCTTCATCTTCGTCACCAGAACCCATATGATTGCCACGATGAAAAAAACATTCGTCTGTGGAAACAGAGGAACATAAGAACAATGCGAATTTAAATGAAAAATAAAAACATGTGGGAACGGCTAATGTGGAAATAGAGGGAAATAATTATTTTAATGTGGTAGGCATAATGATGCTGAAATTAAATAAACTATAGCAATATAGAAATGAGAGATAAATGTAACATATCGTAAAAATAAAATAACAAATTACGTAATGTGGAAAAAGAGTAAAATTGAAAAAAGGGGGAAGTATAGATAAATAGAATAGACTCTGGTAATGAGGGGATATAAAAATAATGTGAAAATTGGGAATATTTAAAAGGATGTTTAAATCGAGGAATATATATATATATATATATATATATATATATATATATATATATATATATATATGTACACACACACACACACACAGACATATATATATATATATATATATATAAAAGGTAGGAGTGGAGAAAACTGTAACATAATGTGAAAACGGTGGAAAATTATTAATTCTAACAATGTGAAAATATGGGAAAATATAACGGAATGAGAAAGAAAGTAACACACAACAGAATGTAAACACTTTTGAAAAAAAAAATATAGGGAAGTAAAATAATGTGGACATGCAAGGAAATATAAAATAGTTTGGAAAATTAAGAAACTATAGAATAATGAGAAAACGGAGGAAAAGGTAACAACGTGTAGAACTGGAGATATGAAAATGTCAAAATACTTGTCACATTTACACAAGGTATATGACATCGGCATGGTGGCACTTTGTGTCACCGGGTGTTTTATCGCTTGTGTGATGTCCTGGTGGGGTACAACTACCTACCTACCTACTGCTTAAGGTTTAAACTTGGCCACCTTGGTTTAATCATGTCACTAAATAGAATATCGGAAGGTCGTGGGTTCGCTCACTGGCAGAGCCGGACTTTTTTCAAAAATGACCCAGCCTTGAGTGGGTACCGGGTGCAGTCCCGGAAAGTTAAGGCTGACCACATCACGAATCTTGTTGCGTTTGGTCTATATGCCCTATACGCCTAAAGGCATGGAAAAAGGTCCTTTATTTAAAAAAATATATATATAACATCAGTGTTGACACACAGACTGTTCATGTATGGTTATCGTGCCTTATTCTCCCTTTCTGTTCATCCTTTTTCTTTCTTTCTCCATCTTTGTTATTTCTAATCATTTTTTTTTTTTTTGGTGGTCTTTTACAGCTACATCCATTTGTATTTTTTTTTTTTTTTAACTTTGTCTGCTTATCTGTTCTAGGAGTGACCCAAAAACAGATGGCGCTTCTACTTAACCAAAGAGATAATGGACAATACAGACAGTTTAAAGAAGAAAGAGATGTAAAAAAAAAAAAAAAAAGAAAAAAAAAATTGTCTTGACCTGTCTTGTCACATGTGTGACAACTTAAGCTCCTAGTTTATGTTTTTGCAAGTTTTATGACCGCCCCTAATCCCGACTTCCCGTTAAGAAGCAAGACTTAAGAGACCTCCCGTCGCTATTATATCAGAAAGACGAGACCCTGCAACAGCTGTTTCTCACATAAGTCGTTATGTAAAAAAAAAAAAAAAAAAAAAAAAGAAAAAAAAAAAAAAAAGAAGAAGAAGATAACAAAAGACAATAGTAATGCTAGCGCTAAACTCGTACTTTAACTGTTTGAGTCCCAAAGGGTTTAGTATCCCAGGCCCAAGGGGTAGTAAAGAGAGACGTAAAATCGGTGCATCTTGCGTTTACTGGGCTTCTAGGTAGTAGCCTATGAACGTATGATGCGCTCCTTGGGACTCAAAGAGTTAATAGACCAATCGGCACTCGATAAATGATGCACTTTTCTAGTACATTACTTGGTACTTTTAGGCTGTGTGTAACTTCCAGCCAAAATCATTTACAATATACATGTCGCTGCGAGGGGTTACCAGGGGATCTAACCGACGCTCAAAACCTAGGATGAGATGGAATTACAATCAGACGGTTACTGGTACCATGGGAATTGGAAATCTTCGCTTGCTGCTGAAGATGGGGACTGAGCGCTTATGGGAGTGTCCCGAGTTCTGTGATGTCGATTCTTAATTCAATATTTTACATTTATAATCTAAATATATATATCTGATATTTATTCATACGTAATGAAAAAATTGAAAATTCTTTTGTTTAATTTTTTTTAAAATCCACCGAGTACGGTTTCTTATCCAAGACGTAAAGTACAGCTGGTGGGCGAGTCATTATTTGCCTAAAATTAAACTTTTTGAGTGACTTTAATTGCACAAAATATTACGTTTTTCGATTAGGCAGTATCTCATAATTTGTCTTTCACTGCTTGATTATCTTAGGACTTATTGCTTACAGTGATTAAAGGCCGTCCCCATGTGGGATGCAATTTTTTTTGTTAATTGAAGCCCACCCTGGCCCATAGCAGGACCATAGATAGGGTCCAGCCATAGATATGGCCTAACGGCTGAAAGAGGTTTCTGGGACCTCTCCACGGGTGATCCTCATCGGCATGGTGGCACTTTATGTTACCGGGTGTTTATCGCTTGTGTGATGTCCTGGTGGGGTACAACTATCTACCTACCTATTGCTTACATGTTTACACTTGGCTACCTTGGGTTAATCATCTCACGAAACAGAATATGCAAAAACCTAATCATCACAGGATGCGGAAGTGCTGTAGTCGGAAGCACGTTTGTCTTCAGGGCTGGTAGACACTGATTCGAATCTAAGTCGGAGCAGATTTTGAAACAACATGAGTTTCTAGGCTAACCAAGAAATGTCTTTAAAAGACAAGTAGGTTAGTTGCGTATCCTTTGCAGGACGTTGCAGAACCAACCCCATCAGCCCCTGGCTGTTGTGTGGTTTCACTAGGCAAATTTACGTCCAGTAGTTTGCCATTGCTTCTGGATGTTTGGCTTTCTTGATACCACTGTCTAAACCCGGCATCCCCCGCATTACGAAGCGTTCGCATCGACAGCCATAGAGCCGACAAAAGGCAAGTAGACCAGGGTAAAACTAACTCACTAATCAAGTTCTGATTGGTCTTCTAAATATGGGCTAGTACTTTTTTTTAATCAGTATCACCAGTGTGTGGAAAGTCATCTTCATAAATTACACCTAAACAGTGATGTTGCATTTTTTAAATATCAGATATAAAACTCAGAATAAAATGCGAAAACAAACCACTAATTTACCGCTAGAAACAGGAATACTGGTTTAATTTATTCGTAAACTGTAGAGACACACAAATCACTTAAATACAATGAACAAGAAAACCGGTCAACATGACACATAAGTTGCAGATATAAACAATTAATTGACTGCAAGAATCACAATATAGGTCGAAACTGTAGGCAGCTTCACAACATTTTTTCTAATTTATGACAAACTTATTCACTTTTTCAATGTGTTCGTTTTTCTAAAGCATTCGTAGAATGGATTACACACAAGATTTATGTCATTTGTAAACAATTTAGCATTGAAAATTTACTACTGGTAATCTGGTAATCTGGTAATCCTAGTTTCAGCATCATAGCAAACGGGTCACCCCATTGTTGCTCCGCTCCTGTGCCAACGAAAAACACTCGTAGCTCACAGTGTCACACCATGCACTCAACTCAGAAGCTGGGTGACGAAACCATATCCTTCCAGTCTACAAATGGAGCAAAAATGCAACGGCCACCGCCTGGCAGAACTGCCACGGCTAAAAAAAAAAAAAAATTAAAAAAAAAAAAAAAAAAAAAAAAAAAAAAAAAGTGGCCGTGCCTAGCGTCCACTGTGACTTGAAGCATTATGTGAGGGGTTAACAAATGGTCACCCCAGCAGTACCCTCACTATTAGCTGGGAAAGGGACTTAGGACATTACATCCACTAGCAGGCGTCGCCCCTACAACGACCTGACTGCCTTCGTTAACGACTGTTCACCCAACAGCCATGCAGTTCTTTGGCACGAAGGAGACACCTTGAACTTGGGTTTCGGAATGCCGACTTCCTACAAAATGTTATTTTGTGTTTTGTTATCACAATCGACGTCACTGCACATTGGGCATACCCATGCGTGCGCAGTCCTCCGAAGCAGCAGCCACTCCAAAGTACTTCTACTAATTGTCCCCATGAGAAGCTGGTTATATTGTCTCCTTTCTCGGCCTCGCAGACGGCAAAGACGTGCTTCACCATGCTTAACTCCCATGTCACGCAATCGTGTTAGTGTCAGGGATTCGATATTATCCACTAGCCCAGTACGTACAGCGTTAACGATATCTGCTCTGTCCATGCTTTTTCCCGCAATCATTAGTGCTGTGCTTGCCAGTTGGTCCGCTCGCTCATTTCCCTTTACGCCCGCATGACCCGGTGTGTAGATCCAGGTTACGGAAGTTAAGTGCGATTTCCGAATGCTTTCTATCCATTCAGAGCGCATACTGCCAGTTGCTATTTTCTGAAGCATATTCATTGAGTCTGAGACAATTACTGCTTGTGTGGCGGTTTGCTCGGATACCCATGCTAAAGCTCTAGAAGCAGCGGCTATTTCCATGGTCATGCTTGACGTGGTTGTCTGGTAAGCGCCGCTATCTTCATGTATTGTTTTCCCCCTTCTTTGCGCTGTGTATGCCCATGCTGACCTTGATCCGCGCTTCACGGACCCATCTGTGAAAATTTACTACTAAAGACACCAACCCATGCACCTTTGTAAGATAAAAAAAGTTTGAAAGTCACTTTTCTCTTATCTCCATATTTCTGTTTCTGGTTTTTTTTTTTTTTTGTTGTTGACTTTTTCAACAAACCTACACATTTAATTTATATAAAACATTTTTAGAAACAATTTTAAAGTAAAAATACTACACCTGTATCTCTACATAAGATTAAAGTTTATGAATCTATCATTTGTTTCTCAATACCTGTGTCTGTTTTTTTTTGTTGAAATTTTAGGATTCCAAATACATGTTGCCCCCCCCCCTCCCCAAGATAGCGGCTATTGCCATGGCAACCATAAATTTTTTTTTAAACTTAGAGTATTCAAATGTATTACCACATATCCCTACACACGACCATTTTGAAATAATTGGTCTAACACTGTAAATCACAAAAAAAGAATTTATTGGTGTAGTTACCCCTTACCAAAATAATCATACGTGAAGAGCAGAGATGGACAATTACACATAAACTGTAGAGAAAAACAATCATACGTAAACTGTAGGGATAAACTTTCATACGTAAAGTGCAGAAATAAATTATTATTAGTAAACTGCAGAGATAAACAATCAACTGGCCGCCAAAAAACAGCAAACACTAGTTCAAATTACACATAAACAACGAAGACAAGCTATAAGTTTACCGCTAGGAACAAGAACACCGGTCCGTGGATAATGTAGTCAACGGAAGTCCCAGAATGGAGCCAACATCTAATGAGAGGAAGAAATGCAAAATTAATTATATAATACATACATCTTTGGACATTTAGAATACTATTTTGGGCTAACCTCCGAATAACGGTCGGTAAAGATGGCGGCTGCAAAATATCCTTTCGAGCCACAGTCTCGTGTCAATTGTGCACTTCCAGCGACTTAATTTGCGGTTCTCCGGCGACTACCGCCACCATCACAAGTCCCCCACGCCGCTCATGACCTAGGAAGGACCACACAGGAAAACAAGGATAACATAAACACGTAGGAACAAGCGATCTCTATATCAGGACAGCGACACAACGCCAGACAGCTAGCGTACATACCATGAATTTTAGCCACTAAAGTGGCGCAAATACACCAGACCATAAATATAACCGGAGACTGGTGGCAGCTTCGGCTGCCAATAACAGGCTGAACGTAGTCGTGTTTTTTTTTTAAAATCAGAATCGAAAATTAAACGTAGACAGCGTGTGTGTGTGTTGCCCTGATATATTATTATGAAAAGGGATAGACTAAATAACTTGATGACTACTGGCAGGATTGGCGGAAAACAGAAAGGGGCAGAAAAATTGAGAGCTCGGCCATATGTACCGGTCAAGACAATAACATTGACCTGATCTGATATTGTGAGCGATCACGTGAGATAGCAAAACATTAAAGCTTACGATTATCAGCGTGGCACATAAGGACAATGACAATAGATAATTATGAATGTGACATCAATCTGGTAATCCATTAAGTACCAACCACCTCATTATGTATTGACTGGTAACTCTTTACACTGTATGGTTTTCTTCATTCTTTATGTTCCATCTACTTCTTATATTTACCACATCATTTACTCTTCACTATATAAGGTGTTTTTCACCCCTTACGTTTCATCCACTTCTTACATTTACCAACCTAATCTACGCCCTAAACTTTACGGTTTTGATCACCCCTTATGTTATATCCACTTCTTCCATTTACCAACTTAATCTAATCCTTAAACTTTATGGTTTTAATCTCCTCTTATAGTCTATCCCCTTTTTACATTTACCAACCTAATCTACGCCTTAAACTTTATAGTTTTTATCACCTCTTATATTCTGTACACTTCTCACATTTACCAACATAATCTGCTCTACACTATATGGTTTTCATAACTCATTATGTTCTATCTGCTTCTTACATTTACCACATAATTTACTCTTTAAACAATATGTTGTTCTTCGCCCATTACGAGCCAACCACTTCTCACATTTAGCAACTTAATCTACGCCTTAAACTATATGGTTTTCATCACCCTTATGTTTCATCCGCTTCTTACATTTAACAAATAATTTACTCTTTACACAATATGTTGTTGTTTGTCCCTTACCTTATATCCACTTCTCACATTTACTATCTTAATCTATGTTTTAAACTATATGGTTTTCGCCAACCCCCCCCCCCCCCTTTTATGTTCTATACACTTCTGACATTTACCAATTTAATCTACACGATACACATTATGGTTTTCTTTACTTCTGATGTTCTTTACACATTGTACATTTAATAACATAATTCACTCCTCAGGAAATTTAAACAACATGCATTTCTTCACTTCTTGTGTTCCATTCTCTTGTTAAGTCTACAAAGTTAATCTACTCCTGACACGACATAGTTTTCTTTGCTAAAGTTCCATCTACATGCTACATGCATCAAGGCAGTCTCAGTTGTAGTTTCTAAAAGCCCCATGAGCTTAGTATGGCTATTGTTTGATTGCCGAAGGACTTTACATTGTAGACTTATAATTAGCAATTGTTTTGAGATAAATGGAGGAAAAATATAAGCGATTTGAGTTTAAAAGTGATTAGTGGCCAGAAGCGTAGCTGATTCGAATGTTGGGAAAAGTAGGGAGGTCATGACACATAGCCAAGGTGAACGCCTTTGGTAATTATCATACAAGTTAGCCCCGACTCCATTTTGTGTGAGCGTGCGTGGTGTGCGTGTATGTTCGCGCGCGTGCGTGCGTGAGTGCGTGTGTGTGTGTGTCTTAAAAGAAGCAGCTGCTTCCACGCTTAGAGAGGTGGAGACTTCACATTTGCTAGTTCTCCTTAACTCTCTGAATGTAGGAAAATATATATCCATACATTTAACTGAACATCTGCTATCATGTACACCCTTTTTAATGTTGTATTACATTAGCAATTCGATTACTTGAACGATCTGAACCTCCCACGTTTTTCGCTTGCTCCCTCATGTGACAAAAAGATGGAATACTTCATTGTTTCATGTGAACTGTTGGGAGGTCACTTCCGGGTCAATCTGTGACATGCTCAGAAAAGGCTGTTTTATGACCGCCCAACACGTGCAGCTGTATCGATTACCATCAAGACAAGTTTCTGTGATTAATGTCGTTAGATGCTCATTGGTCTGAGCGCACTGACCGTGCTGCTTTTTTTTTCGGCTATAAATGATGTCGATAATAATAATAATAATAATACAAAGAATAATAACTGTAATTATAATTGTACTCGTAGTAATATTCATAGTAATAGTAGTAGTAGTAGTAGTAGTAGTAGCATTAGTAGTAGTAGTAGTAGTAGTAGTAGTAGTAGTAGTAGTAGTAGTAGTAGTAGTAGTAGAAGTAGTAGTAGTAGTTGTAGTAGTAGTAGTAGTAGTAGTAGTAGTAGTAGTAGTAGTAGTAGTAGTGGTGGTGGTAGTAGTAGTAGTAGTAGTAGTAGTAGTAGTAGTAGTAGTAGTAGTAGGAGTGGTGGTAGTAGTAGTAGTAGTAGTATTAGTAGTGGTGGTAGTAGTAGTAGTAGTAGTAGTAGTAGTAGTAGTAGTAGTAGTAGTAGTGGTAGTAGTGGTGGTAGTAGTAGTAGTAGTGGTGGTAGTAGTAGTAGCAGTAGTAGTAGTAGTAGTAGTAGTAGTAGTAGTAGTAGTAGTAGTAGTAGTAGTAGTAGTAGTAGTAGTATTAGTAGTAGGAGTGGTGGTAGTAGTAGTAGTAGTAGTACTAGTAGTAGTAGTAGTAGTAGTAGTAGTAGTAGTAGTAGTAGTAGTAGGAGTGGTGGTGGTAGTAGTAGTAGTAGTAGTAGTAGTAGTAGTAGTAGTAGTAGTAGTAGTAGTAGTAGTAGTAGGAGTGGTGGTGGTAGTAGTAGTAGTAGTAGTAGTAGTAGTAGTAGTAGTAGTAGTAGTAGTAGTAGTAGTAGTAGTAGTAGTAGTAGTAGTAGTAGTAGTAGTAGTAGTAGTAGGAGTGGTGGTAGTAGTGATAGTCAGTGGACTTCGACGTGAAGAAATGACGCTGGCGTTGGATTGACGTTGAGGAAACCTGAAAACAATATAAGTAGAGTGTCTTTGTACTGGAACAACAGGGACATAGAAATAAAGGGAGATAAAAAAGCACACAGATAAGGGAATTATAGAGCGAAGTTCAAACTATGGGGAGGACATTGGAAAGAGTTCCATATAATAACCAAGGATAGAAAGACTTTCCGTTAAATGGTTGAGGGCTTACTTCCTACTGGGAGATAGAAGCAGAAGAGGAAGCAGCAGCAGTAGTAGTAGTAACATAAATATTCACAAAAGCAATATAAATGCAATAGAAAGGATTGCACATGACGGAACAGAATTGAGGACTAGACTTCTAGCCTTATTAGATATATAATGGCCCAGTAGGATAATGTTGATGATGATGATATTGGTTTAAAACAAAAAAGCATTATAATACACACGTTTTTTCATCATAGGTCTCCTTCATCACAACCCAAGCCACCGTAATGAAAAAGGGCGTAACTGGAAGAAACGGAACAAACAAAAAAAAAAAAAAAAATTAAAATATAACATCATCATCAAATACCTTGCCGACTGGCGTGAGCGATCATGCCTCTCCACAAACTACATTCTACAACTGAGTGTATTAGTTTGTGTCTTGACACCCCTTCTTGCCATGATAAAAGACTTGAAGAATCGTTTCGCACTGTCTCCATGTGTCTCTTTTTCTACAGATTTTTCCAGTGGTCACAACATGTTCCATTTCCTTTTTCTGAGAACATGACCAAAAATTGATGACTGTCTCTTTTTAATGTTTGTAATAAGTTGTCTTTGAGCATTCGCTTCTTACAAAACATCAAATATACCATACCTCAGTAAAGGTATATGAAATACTGCCATAGGCTTGTTGATAATTAGACCATCGTATATTCTAGGTCACAATATAACGAGACGATATCGCGCTGTCATATTCAACTACCTTGTGTCCTACCTAGAAAATCATATAAACAGAATCTGGCTCGTATTTGTTGAAACAGGATGGATTGTAACATTGTCAGGGGTAGAAACAAAATTCAGCAGTGCTATTTGGCTTCCTTTTTTCCGTTGTTCTTTCTCAATTATGGTTCTCCTCTTTGTCCCAGTCCTTCTTTTCTTGTACATCTTGTTCATATCCTTCAATCCTCCTTCACCCCTCCTCCTCATCTCCTTCCTCTTCTTTCTCTTCCGGATCCTATATTCTACATCCTCCCCCATCTTCTCTTCTTTATTTGCTTCAATAGATGTCCATCTAGAGCCGGCATCTGCAATTATGACTCATCTTTCATGTCTCTCATGCTTATGTCAATATTGCTTATAATTTTGTTTTCTTAGCTTCTCCAAAATTACATTTACTAGTCTCCCATCTCTCTCTCCTTCTCCTTATCTCTCTCGCTCTCTCTCTCTCTCTCTCTCTCTCTCTCTCTCTCTCTGCGTCTCTCTTCCTCTCCATTTTCTCTTACTCTCCAACTTACTCCCGGTTTCTTTCCGTCTCTCTCTTTCTCTCTCTCTCTCTCTCTCTCTCTCCGTCGCTCTTTCACTTTCTCTACGACTCTCTCTCACTCCGTATCTCTCTCACTCGCTCTCCGTATCTCTCTGTGTCTTCGACTCTCCAAATGGACTTCTGAGTGACAAGACCAGAATCCAGTGTCATACTCGCTAATTCTCTTGGGCATCTCCACATAGTAAGTTATCTAAAACTGGTCGACCAGTCTTGATAAGGTCCCCAAGAATTCAATTTCTTATCGCGCATAAGACGCTCTATTACCGACAGCACACATATATCACGACCTCACCGACATAGGATTTTAGTTTAACCGTAAAATGGTTTGAAATGAATTCTGTCCGTATTACATAGTTGTGGATTTCAAGCTATACGATAGACATGGCCAATAAGACACATTTTTTGGTTGTGGAAAGTTGACCATGTTCTTAGTGCACTTGTATTTATGTCGAGGCGCACCCGCCGTCTGTAGGTGACAGGTTCAATTCCCGGCACGGTAACTATAGCTTTTTATGTTGTCTGATGTGTTTTTCTATCTTTTTGCTTCTTTTTATGAGTGTCGATCAACACATTTGCTGTTCCTTGATTAATATAGTTTACTTCGTCAGCGTTTTGTGGTGCCCGTTGTAATCGTGCTGTAAGGCTACAAGGTTCAACGGCGTTTAGGGGATTTGCAAATGCAAATCTTGACTGGACGTGACTAAAATGAAAAGAAAACAAAAAATAATTGGTTTGTTCGTCATCTGCTTTTATCGTCTCACCGATGCCAGGCTGTAACCCAGTTTGTCTCGCACTTCTTGGGTGGCTTGGGTAATGGGTTCCATGATCTTTTTTTTTACAGGTTTCAGCTATATCATTTATCCATCTCTCTTGTTAGTTTTCCCCTCGCCTTCCTTCCCGATGTTCTGCTTCAAAAAGTCTCATATGATATTTGGGCAGGCTGCGTTCTCACTAGATGACCCAAATATTTCATTCTGTTTCTGCCAATATAATTCAGACAAGGTCTTATTCCAACTTTCTCTCAAATGCTGGCATTCGTAACTGCTGCCCCTTTTTGTGTTGTTAATGACCTTAAGTGAGACATCGCATTTCTTTCGGCTGGTCTCAGGTTTTACACTAGGAAAATAGCAATGCAATATTGTCGAAAATGAGATGACGCTGACGATCAGAATGGGAAGTTTCCACACTAACCTTTCACCGACAGATGCAAGTTAATTTCTATGCACAAACCACACGAAAGCATGGGTGCTCTAGCGTGCGTTTAGACACACAGTGAAGCCCCAGTTCAGAGAAATATTTTTACTGTGTTAGGTGAGAGTTCAGCCCCACCCCCTATCCTTTCCTCCGTCTCTCCTCATTATATTTAATGGACTTCACCTACGCCCCCCCCCCCCTTTCTCCCACGTGTCTATTCTGTTGTCTCACCCCTTGAGTTTATTGCACGATACCAACACCGCCCCACACCTTCCTTTCCCCCCCCCCCCCCCCCCCCATCCACAGCATTATGAAATGTGATTAAATTAGGAAAGTACAAACAAGAAAATCCCCATACTGCTTTACAAGATTTAGAGAAAATCACGCATACAATTCAAACCGTCAAATGACACCAACAACTGGTAAATGTGTCCTAATGATTAATTTTATGGTTGACACTTATCTGCCCCTTTTGGTCTATTGTTGCACAAGGCACAACGGCGATCATTCTCCGCATTAGGCAGGCATCGCTGTTTTGTTTTCGTAACTGCTACAGGTAAAGAAATAGGTGAGAAGATTGACTTCACTTCACGGGATTTGATCCCATAATGCTTATTCTCTCTTCGCAGGAAAGCTAGCTGCCTGCCGAGAGAGTCACACAGAGTGCGACCTCCGTAGCTCCGGTGACGATCCCCAGGGATTTCCATAAAACTTGAACTCGTGAACTAAAGGGTGACGCCGTGACGTGAACTCACGACCCAAGGCTGAAAATCCTGATTATGACAGGATAACATGCACTTAATTTCAAAAGTGCCCCTTTGAAACCTTTTCCTCCCCCCCCCCCCCCTCTCCTTCTCCCACCCTCAATTCAGTTCTATTTGTTTGCGTCTTTTTCATTTTTTACGTAGAGTTTTCTAGTCAGATTCTATTTTATTCGCGTCTTTCGTATTCCCTTCGTTGAGCTTTTTAGTCATGTTCTATTTTAATCGCGTTTTTTTTCCATTACTCCGTTGAGCTTTTTAGTCAGATTCTATTTTAGTCGCGTCTTTTCCATTCCTCCATGGAGCTTTCTTGTCAGATTCTATTTTATTCTAGTCTTTTCCATTCCCTCCATGGAGCTTTCTTGTCAGATTCTATTTTATTCGAATCTTTTCCATACCCTCCGTGGAGCTTTCTTGTCAGATTCTATTTTATTCGAGTCTTTTCCATTCCCTCCATGGAGCTTTCTTGTCAGATTCTATTTTATTCGAATCTTTTCCATACCCTCCGTGGAGCTTTCTTGTCAGATTCTATTTTATTCGAATCTTTTCCATACCCTCCGTGGAGCTTTCTTGTCAGATTCTATTTTTTTCGAGTCTTTTCCATTCCCTCCATGGAGCTTTCTTGTCAGATTCTATTTTATTCGAGTCTTTTTTATTCTCTCCATGGAGCTTTTTTGACAGATTCTATTTTATTCGCGTCTTTTCCATTCCCTCCGTGGAGCTCTCTAGTCATTTTCTATTTTATTCAGCACTTCTTTACATTTCACACAGAGAATTATGTAACTTCTATCAATAAAATGAGCAAACCTACTGGTCAGACCATCCTAGTTTGTTTTTTCCCTTATTAGACTATAGTCTATATGTAGTATACCTACATAAGGTATAATTACATTACTTACCCCAACCGATGATCATGTAGTACCAAAGACGAATTTTCTGAGCGGAAAACGCCCAAACAACAATGGTAAACAAATACAAGCCTTCCACAAACATCCAGTAAAATGGGACCGTGTGAAAATACGTTATGGCCGCCATAAACAGCTTGCACACCCACTGGAAAGAAAAGGGGAAAAAAAAAAAAGGGCAAAAGGTTTCAATCTTGTGAACGTTATTTTTCTATTATTACTCAAACGATCATCATCCAAGTGTTTGTTCCGTGGCCAGGTTGTCAGGGTTGGGTGGGGTGGGAGGCAAGGAGAGAAGAATCAGCTAAATCTTCAAAACGGATGTATATGCATAACTCAAGATCTAAAACTAGGTTTATGTCTAGGAATAGACAGGCAACCAATTTTTAACGTCAGAGTTTAAACCGTGATCACGAAACAGAAGACGAAGATTACGAATCCTCATCTAGTGGGATCTGTAAACAACTGACCATGGTTCCCAGGTTGATTCAAACTAAAATAGGTACCGATACAAATAATCATGTATATTGTTTCCAAATAATATCTATTGTTTCTACACCATGTCTATTGTTTCCAAATAATGTCTATTGTTTCTACATCATGTCTATTGTTTCCACATCATGTCTGTTGTTTCTACGTCATGTCTATTGTTTCCAAATAATGTCTACTGTTTCCATATCATGTCTGTTGCTTCCACATCATGTCTATTGTTTCCACATCACGTCTATTGCTTTGACATCATGTCTACTGTTTCTACATCATGTCTATTGTTTCCACATCATGTATTTTTTCACATTATTTCTATTGTTTCCACATCACGTCTATTGCTTCGACATCATGTCTACTGTTTCTATAGCATGTCTATGTTTCCACATCATGTCTATTGCTTCCACATCATGTCTATTGTTTCCACATTATATCTATTGTTTCAACATCACGTCTATTGCTTCGATATCATGTCTACTGTTTCTATATCATGTCTATGTTTCCACATCATGTCTATTGCTTCCACATCATGTCTATTGTTTCCACATTATATCTATTGTTTCTACATCATGTCTACTGTTTCTACATCATGTCTATGTTTCCACATCATGTCTATTGTTTCCACATTATGTCTATTGTTTCCACATCAAGTCTGTTGTTTCCACAGCAAGTCTATTGTTTCTACATTATGTCTATTGCTTCCACATCATGTCTATTGTTTCCACATCATGTCTATTGTATCCACATCAAGTCTGTTGTTTCCACAGCAAGTCTATTTGTTTCCACAATATGTCTATTGTTTTAAAACCTCACCTCCGCGGCCTCAAGATATTGTTCGGTTTGTTTATTATTCGTCCGGTCTTTACAGCCGTATGTTAAAACTCGCTCTATAAAGCATACAATAATTATTTTCCTAAAAACTCTCTCTCTCTCTCTCTCTCTCTCTCTCTCTCTATATATATATATATATATATATATATATATATATATATATATATATAATGAGTGTGTGTGTGTTTATATATATATATATTTACACGCATGCTCTCTCTCTCTCTCACACACACACCCACACACCCACAAGACAGTAATAATTTTTCATTGAAATCTTTCGTGTTTGCCTCCACAATTACCTTTGGAGCCCCTGTTGTGACCTCATTGAGGGTGTTATGAACTGTCAGCCATGTTATGTTGGAGAAAATAAACGACATGATGAGATTACAGTGGATGGAGTTTCGAAGACACCTCAAACTTCTGAAAAGACACAAGCGCATTGGTAGACAAGTTAATATCTTGATAGTTTGGCTGAATGAATTCAGTTCAATTGTTTGTTTTGTTATTATATTGCTGTTGTACTATTACTTCCAAACCTCCAAGACTGAAGATCCTGTTTTCAGATTAGCATTCAGGCGAAATGTTATAAAATGTTTCTTTTTCTTCTTCTTTCGTTCGCTTGAAATAAATTATTTATATCGGCAATGTTGTCTCTAGTATGAACTTCAGTGTCCTTTGTAATTCACTTAGCGATCCGTAAAGTTTGACTTGCACCGATGTTTCTCTTGGGGAAAAGTTTCGCCTTGATATGTTGTATTTGGGACAGTCTTGGAGGACATGATCTGTTGTCTCAGGTGCCAATCCACATGTGCATATGGCTGATTCGCCGATTAAAATTTTATGTACATGTGGCTGCGAAGTTGTGTCCTGTTCTAAGGCGTAGAAGAATAATATGAGACTAATGTTAAGAAATGATGTGCGTCTGTGATGTTGTCTAATTTAAACAGCCTTGGACAGTAAAAATGGTCATTTAATGTTTATTTTCTTTTTCGTTTACCCTGCCAATGATTTTCAGATGAATATACAACAAAGGCCTTTTCCATACAGCTTGTTCTCTAATGAAATGCCAACTGACCAAACATGACCTATCTCTCTCTACTGCCTGTAGAGAGTACGTCTGTAACTTAGTTTAGGCTTCTTCGAAGAGGAGGACCCAGTACTGCACCGGCCTGGCAGGGTTCAACTGGCACAACATCATATCCATCATTCTCATCTTTGGTCACTGTCATTACAGGAAGGAACACACTTGAGGCTGATCGCTTGTGCTGACTTGTCTATGAGATATGGATCCATGTGTTCCGACGAGACAAAAGTGTTTTAATTTCTTCTTAAAAATTTGGCCAGACGGTTTATAGCTAACAGACCGAACCAATCAATATGTGACATTATTAAAATTACTGATCTAGGGCTATTTCAAAATGACTTAAATACATTTGTACTTACCAATAGCACTGCCTTTATTTACCACTTTTGCGATGTAGGCAGGGGAGTCTTTGATCACAAGGATTAGGTGCCACATGGCTTTTTCTGTTGTTACGGACTCTCTAGGTCAGAAGTTTCTTTTTCTTGCTTCCGACAGGAAGGGGGAGGGGGAGAGAACAACTTTACCGAGGATTCGAACCTAGGTCTCCCTCATGAGAGGCCAGCGCTCTTAACCACTCGGCCAGCGTCTGTATTTACGAAGTCAGGATAAAGTCAACTTACCGAAAGTTGAGGAAGATGGCCAAGGCTAGTATCAACACAACTGTTGTGACAGAGAATCCGACATCGTAGATGAGCCTCACACTAACCGTCTTCGTAGTGTACTGTAGGACGGAAAAGGGGAGGAAATATACGAGATGTTATCAAATGAATTATATTCTTCGTGTTTTTGGTCCCTGTCGTTTGTCGTTGGTAGTCACTAACTTCACAACCTTTTAAGTAGTGTACTTCAAGCTAGTTCTGGCACAAATGATCTTCCATACTACGATGTCATACTCTGCAGAATCTTCTTTCTCAGTCTCCCTCTTTTTTTCCCCCTCACCAACTTTCCAAAGGTCAGGATATATTCCAGTTTTTTGTCTTTTCACGATGTGAATAAAGAATTTAGATTGCCTCCTTCTAATGTTGGCAATCAGTTCTTTTCGGGAGTCAGTTTTTGTTTCCCCAAGACGTCTTCATTATATTTGAATCTGTCCATTAGTGTCATAATTCGTCTATAAATTCCATCTCCGCCGCATCTAAAATAAATGTTTTACTAATCGGCCAACTGTCCATGATTCACTTCCGTAAATCAGGATAGGGTTTATATAGCTCTTGATAATTCTTGTTGTCATCTCAGTTGAGAAAGAGAGGTCGTATAAAATAAACTATCTTAGGAATAGGGAATGCATTTTGAAAACCTAATATTATGGAAGGACATGAATCCATGACCCTCTGACCCACAGGCAAGCGTCTAGCCGCTACACCAAAGCGGTTCGCAAATTACATATAGCGTGTTCCATAAATCCCTCAACACTCATTGAGTTTCAGTAAGTGAGTACCGCGTCATGAGAGAACTTTGTGGTCACACAGAAGTCACCGTTGAGGTACTTATGGAAACACCCTAACTACACATAATATGAGGTATAACAATGTCCACTGATGTCACACATTTTGAATATTTTACCTAGTAGTGAGTAACAGTCGGCTCTGTGGCTAAGTCGATGCGAACGCTTCGTAATGCCGGGATGCCGGGTTCGATTCCAGCTGCTGGCCATGCGCCTTGCGTTGGTTTCGACAGTGGTATCAAGAAAGCCGACCGTCCAGTAAACAATGGCAAACTACTGGACGTAAATTTGCTAAGAAAAACCACACAATAGACAGGGGCTGATGGGGTTGGTTCTGCAACGTCCTGTGAAGGATACGCTACTAACCTTAGTGAGTAACAACGGCGACAGTATAAAAGAAGTCAAAAAAGACTTGCTTTAGTAATGCAGAGGCTGAACACAGCGAAGAACCTCAAAGTGAATTGAAGTAAGAATTTTAAGATCATGCATCTGTGCAATGACTCTTTTCTTATTGTCTTTGGCTCCAGTCACTTGCAGACTCCCATCCATGCGCCGACAGTCAACACACGAGTAAACATGGACGACAGTGAACGATACAATGCGATTTCACATTTTATTTGTTCACTCATTGTTTCTTCAGCCAGTATATTTAGGGTACAACCCGTTTACTAATATCTATCCCAAAACACACCAAAAGTATCAACTATTCCTTGATATGAAACACATTTTCCACCACCACAGCAATTGAAAGATAACTTATTTATGGTTCACTACAACCTGTCGCGTGCATCTTGCGGCTGTGAGTTATGGATTCTTACTCAATGCTTGCAGAAAAAAAGGGGCTTTTGAACTGAAATGCTAAAGAAAATTTTTAGAATTCCGTGAACCAAGAAGAGGAAAAACATCAACATTCTACACCAATGGTTCTCAGGTTTCCTAATGCCGGGACCCTTATTACAGTTCCTTATGTTGATGCGACACTTTAATTCAGTTCCTCGTGTTGTGGCGACCCGCCAACCAGACAATTATTTTCGTCACTACTTTATAACGTTTATGAATATGTGTTTTGGAATGGTCTTTGGCGACGCCTGTGAAATTGTCGTTCGACCCAAACAAAGGGTCGCGACCCAAAGGTTGAGAACTACTGTGAACACAATATGAACATCGAAGATTATTGCCTCACAAACAGCATCCTCTTCCGAAAGCTGAGGTTATTTGGCCATGTTCAACAACACGGTGGCCTGGAGAAAACTACGATGGAAGGTGCATGTTTCGAAAAGGAAACAGCGGCCGACTTCTGCAAAGGTTAATACAAGACACTGAAGACCTTTTGGATAAGAAAGCACATTTGGCTAGAAAAAGAGAGACTTTTTGGCGTGCCGTAATTAGAGCAACGTTCTGTAGAGAACCTGCTGTTTGATTTCGATGATATTATAATGGACAGGGTATGCTGCAACTGAATCTGGTCAAATTCCGTTTTCAGATTTAATATAATACTCTGATATAATTTAATCCTACATCGTTTTTTTTTTTTTTTTTGGGAATGTGATCAAGCAAATTAGGAAGATTATGTAGTCAATTTAGATGTGGTTCTTGAGAACAATGTTGCGAATACCTTGGACAACTAGAATAACTATCAACATCAGCCGGGAAATCCATCCACACACACACACACAACAACAACAAAACACACACACACAAAATCGACCACTTTCAGCCTACTGCGAGCAGTATCGGTCATAACTGTGATCTGTTTCTTTGTGCCAATTATGTTGGTTAAGAAATGTCAATTGCACCAAAACTAGTGGCCTATAGTGGCACTCTAGCACCTTTAGAGGGCTGTTGGGAAGGGAGGAGCCGACATGCACTAAACACAACTACACACACGCATATAGACATACATGTAGATTAAAAAACACATATATATATCAACATACAAACACATACATGTCTGCATACACACATGCGCACACGCTCAAGCGGGAATCTATGTAAACGTGTTTGCTTACACACATATTTATGCATGCACGCGTACACTCAAGGCAGACGCCGTCGTGCAGCGGCCATGCATTTATGCATACATATAACCATGTATGCATACATACATACATACATACATACATACATACATACATACATACATACATACATACATACATACATACATACATATATACATACACGTGCATGTATGCATGATTACATACATGATTGTATGCATGCATACATCAATACATACATACATACATACATACATACATACATACATACATACATACATACATACATACATACATACATACATACATACATACATACATACATACATACATACATACATACATACATACATACATACATACATACATACATACATACATACATACATACATACATACATACATACATACATATACATACATACATACATACATACATACATACATACATACATACATACATACATACATACATACATACATACATACATACATACATACATACATACATACATACATACATACATACATACATACATACATACATACATACATACATACATACATACATACATACATACATACATACATACATACATACATACATACATACATACATACATACATACATACATACATACATACATACATACATACATACATACATACATACATACATACATACATACATACATACATACATACATACACACACACACACACACACACACACACACACACACACACATACGTACGTACGTACGTACGTACGTACGTACGTACGTACGTACGTACGTACGTACGTACGTACGTACATACATACATACATACATACATACATACATACATACATACATACATACATACATACATACATACATACATACATACATACATACATACATACATACATACATACATACATACATACATACATACATACATACATACATACATACATACATACATACATACATACATACATACATACATACATACATACATACTTACATACATACATACATACTTACAGACAGACAGACAGACAGACAGACAGACAGACAGACAGACAGACAGACAGACAGACAGACAGACAGACAGACAGACAGACAGACAGACATGTCTCACCCACAATAACATTCGTTACTCGTGTTTCATTCACATGTTAACGCGCACACTATACGCAGGGAAGTCCTGTTCAACTCACCAAACGAACAAATGAATGTTCCTCGCCATTAGTCTTGATAATACAATACCTAAGGCCCAACTAAGCTTTTCACACAAAAACAGCAGCCTACTGTATTCGGACTGCCAACTGGACTTAACAGATTCTGCAGCCAAATGTATACAACATTTAAGAATGCAGCCTCAGAACTTTATCACGTTGACATTCACCCCCAGAACTCTTTATATGTGCTACATTTATGCTCTCCACATGCAGTAGAGAGATCTCGGGTCTGCCTAGTGACCCTTCCTGCGAAAAAACAAGCTGTGAAGATCAGTCAAGGTTATACGTCGTACCATTATCTTCATTTGGCCTGGGACTTGATCGGAAAGCCACTGGAAGGAAGAAGGAACAAGAGATAAAGAAGATTCAGGATCTAAATACGCATACAATGTGCAGTAAAATTATTGTCAACTCACCATATCATCAAATGGGTGCTCCTTACGATTAGTCTCCAGGACGCAGGCGTTGTATACTGCTGGTGCCCATGTGCCATTCTCGTAACATTCCTTGGTGGCAGTTGCTGTGAGGAGAGAAAGCAGTAGGAGAATCGGGAATAAATCTTGGCATGCCGTTTACTGTGGTGAATCTTCGCAATGTTGTTTATTGTGGTGCATTTTTGCATGTCGTGTTTTTATAGTGAATCTTTGCATTTTGTTTATTGTGGTGAATCTTTACAATGTCGTATGCTGTGGTGAATCTTTGCAAATCATTTATTGTGGTGCATCTTTGTATGTCGTGTTTTATAGCGAATCTTTGTATTTTGTTTATTGTGGTGAATCTTCTCAATGCTGTTTACTGTGGTGAATCTTTGCAAGTCATTTATTGTGGTGCATCTTTGCATGTCGTGTTTTTATAGTGAATCTTTGCATTTTGTTTATTATGGTGAATCTGTGCATATCGTTTTAAGTGGTGAATCTTTGTAAGTAATTTATTGTGGCGAATCTTTGCATATCGTTTATTGTGATGAATCTTTGCATGCGTTTATTGTGGTAAATCTTTGCATACCGTTTATTGTGGTAAATCTTTGCATACCGTTTATTGTGGTAAATCTCTGCATACCGTTTTTTTTTTTTTTTGGGTAAATCTGTGCATACCGTTTATTGTTGTAAATCTTTGCATATCGTTTATTGTGGTAAATCTTTGCATGTCATTTACTGTAGTGAATCTTCGCATTTCGTTTTTGTGTGGAGAATATTTGCATGTCGCTTACTGTGGGGAATGTTTGCATGCCATATACTGTGGTGAATCTTTGTATATAGATTATTGCGGTGAATTTTTGTATATCGTTTACTGTAATGAATCTGTGCATGTCGTTTATTATAGTGAATCTTTGCATGTGGTTTACTAAAGCAAATCTTCGCATGTCGTTTATTGTTTTGAATCTTTGTATATCGTTTACTGAAGTGAATCTTTGCATGTCGTTCACTGAAGGGAATCTTTGCATGTCGTTTACTGAAGCGAATCTTTGCATGTGGTTTACTGAAGTGAATCTTTGCATGTTGTTTACTTAAATGAATCTTTGCATGTCGTTTACTGAAGTGAATCTTTGCATGTCGTTTACTTTGCGGTGCTATATGGAATAAGTGTTGTTATGTACATGTGAGACATGGTCAAGAAGCAGACAAGCTATGGGGAGGGGGTGGAACACATATTGAGCTATTCATGATGATACTGTTGCAAGAGGTTCTTTTTTTTTCAGTAGCTGTCAGAGAGTTAATAATGCCATGATGGATAGTACAATAAAACTGACTTAACAATGCTTCCGATGATCATATGAGCGAGCGAAACATAAGAGCCACCGTAAATCGATCCGGCACATAAGACTGATGATTGTGTGTTGTGCGAAACTAAAACAGTTATCATAAACTACAAACCTTCGTTAACTTTGTGTCCGGTATAATCCAACGAAAAAATTATGATCTATCCAGACCAAGCTTTAATCGTGATCGTTTCTCTGGGTCATGAATAAAACAATGTAAATTACCCATCTTAACTCCATGAGAAAGTGCTAGTACAGTAAAACGGCAACCTTCCGCATAGTTATACAATTGCATCCCATATTCATTTTGAAGTTGATGTCTATATCAGCTTTTATAAGCTGTCTATGTGACACATTAACTTTAAACTAATTTGTGGATGCGCCTTTGACTAAACAACCTTCACCGACGTCTTATATTGGCGACAGGTCACTAAAAGTGCGACTTTGCATGATAAAGCTGAGTATGTTTTCTTTGACCCCTGTTAAAGCCATTCTTCAACAAGTCATAGTGTGTATTACTTTCTGAAACTAAGGAAAGTAAACCTTCCAAAAGTCTACCAAGACAGTTTCATGCTCCTTAGCACCGGCGAGGATCCTTAAATATTTTGTCTAGATTTTTAACTCTAAAATTTACCGAGGTAGCGCGGTTAGGCTACTCTTTTCGATTTCCAACTGCCTATGGATTTTTTTACGTGTGCAGCCATACACACAAGCGTCCGATCTCACTACCCAGCGACCAGGGGAAATTACTCGAAGTCCACTTGTAAAGATCCCAGCCTTCACCCGGGACCTCTAGCGCTCGTGGCAGACACCATGCCTTGAGACTACGCAGCCTCCTCATTTGTTAATTGTCGTAGACAATCGTGACTGTTTTGCTTAACCGAAATAAAGGGGGAAATAATAAGGCATAGTTAATCATCCACAGCCATTCATTTATTTCATCAAACAAATATTACTTTTATTAATCAGTTACTCCCCTTGATGTCAGTGTTTCTAAGATTGATACAAATTAGTATAACCAGTCAATAATTTATAATAACTAGAATGTTCGCAAACTGGGCTCAATAATGGTCACGCTAATTCAGCAGTAATTTCTCAGTCTGTGGATGCCAAATTCAGCACAATCAATGTCATATTGTCTGTTAAAGTGTGATCACAAAGTTAATGCTTGCTATTTTTTTTTAAAAATTTAAGTTGTTGCGTTGATTGCAAAGCAAAAAAAGCATTTTACAAAATGAAGAATGTTTTATGCAATCTTTCTTTGTCAATTGAGACTAGAAAGAGAATTCTTAAAAGCTATATCAATTCTACCTTGATGTACCGAAGTGAATCATGGACAGTTAGTAGATTAGTGAAAAAAAAATTTGGAAGCTGCGTTGTTTTGGTTATAGGGACGAATTATGAGAATACCATGTTCAGATTAAGAAAGAGTAATTGAGGTTATCTTCAAAGAAACTGACTCACGAAGAGAACTGATTGCCCACATCAGAAAGAGACAATCTACATTCTTTGGTCATGTGAGGAGAAGGAGAAAACTGGGGTACGTCGTAATAGTGGGAAAGTTTGAGGGGACGGGCGGCAGAGGGAGACCGAGAGAGAAGATGATGGATAGTTTGGACATCATGCCATGGAAGATTATCTGTGTCAGCGTTGATTGAAAGTACACGAGACAGAAGGCTGTGGATAGAAGATGACTACCAACGCTCCATAAATGAAATGTTTTCTTTGGTCCCATCGCTAGAAGGCGAAACCGGTGAACAATTTGAAAAAAAGGGTTGGGGGTGGGGTGGGGGCAGAAAGGGAGGCAGATGGAAACCGACTGAGGTGATGTTGTACTGATTCACACTATCTCTTGGACACTCAACTGTGTCAGAAAGGATTGAACGTATTCAAATCAGAACGCTGTGGATACACAGCTACCATTGCTGCACACACGGACTGAAATTAGAAGAAGAAGAAGAAGAAGAAGAAGAAGAAGAAGAAGAAGAAGAAGAAGAAGAAGAAGAAGAAGAAGAAGAAGAAGAAGAAGAAGAAATGCACTAATAGTATATTTTGATCCATCAATCTGTCGTTCTGATTGACT